TTGACTCGATTTATAAAGCAATTCAGATTTTGTAAATCAGGGTGAAGACTTTGTGGGGCTGTTCACTCGCTTCTGGTCGGTCCTTCGAACTAACTGCAACTCTTGAAGTCTCACTAACCACCAACAATGAGAATAAATATGTAACTAATATGTGAACGAAAATTGATCCAATACGGGAATTGAGCCAGTTACGATAGTCATTAAGGAATGAGATCATGGTGAGACCTCAGGAAAGGGTAGATAATCCGATGCCTAGGATCATTTTCGAGAAAACTTTAATTTTTCCCTACCAATACATATTCAACCCCCGCCAAGTTTATGTTTGATGTTCATTAACTGTTTAGGATCCCTAGGTAGGTTTTGTGCACTGAAATACGGTCTCCAGTTTTTCAAGGGCTTATATGTATATTCGGTTTCCGAGGAGCGGCTGAATGTGGACCTGCTGGTGACTTATCCTGATGACTTTCCCATGCGTATTCTGCTCTCCTCCCCTCTCCACTCTTCCACAACCTACCCCTCCTCATCTGCCACTAAACAGCCCTTCAAAATAGAACAGAAAATTACCAAACTCCAGTGGCAAGGATTTTCAAAATTCTTCCCATACAGCATATTTGCATTAATCGAGCGCTTCAGAGCCAATCGCCATTGTTATACATTACACAATATTAAAGAAATACGGTAAGGTTCTATGCAAAGCTATGAAGGTAACGCAAAGAGGAGAGAACAGTGTCGAGACACAGCTGCTGCTTGCAGACTCGCTACCAAACCGGCCAAACTCGTCCATTTCGGCATTATCAGCTAGATTAAGCTGCGCTATTATAACGAGATTAAGCTTCCGTAGCATCTCATATCAGCAGCTACTTTCACTCTCGCGATCAGCGTCATCTCAGCTCGGCTTGTTGGTTATCCTGATATGGATTGGCTGAATTTCTGGAGGAATTTTCTTGCAAAAACAGTTGTTGATTAAGAAGACAATGAACCGAAGAAGCGATTCGTAAGCACAAGCCGGTGAACCCAGTTCTACGTTATCATTGGGGTCGGCTAAAGGGAAGTAGTTTGAAAGGATGAGTTCACCCATGTGCACGATCCTGCCCTGTTCTGAACCATTAAAATGACCGGCAGAAGGACCTATTCGCACCTCTTCCACCCTAATCCCACGCAGTATCGAGTTTCGCTTTTCGCGACACGATTGGGTCTAAAAGCGGAAGTTTCGAGCGTTCATGATCAATGACGGCGTACTTTTTATGGCACGTGGATTTTTTCAGAGTAGTGAAAAAAGCACATGTTCACTTTTTTGAAATCCCCATTTTCACTTTTTTTTTNTTTTTTTTTGAGTGGCAGCTTCAAAGGCCAAAAATCATCCTTCCGACCCCGATTTTAGAGCAACCATGCTGCCAGCATTATGACGAGGTGATAAGATAGCGGTTTTTTTTTGTGTTGTCTAGTTGTTTCAGGTAACCATCAATCGCCACTTGGCTCATCACCACTATCAGCAAAATCGATATAATACTACTTGCTAATTGGTAAGATACTTGTTACTATACTATGAATGTGCTTGTTGATTGTAGTTTTAAAGGCTCATGAGCTTATCAACGATTCTTATCACTCATATCCTGTAAAGAGAAAATATCTTGAATCATTTGGGTTTTTATACTTGGGTCAGCTGGCTCTTACTCACAGGGGGATCACTGATTTGTAAGTTCCCAATTGATGAATCGCCTTCACAGATTTCAATGCTCTTCGGACTGGTTTTTATCGTAACTGGTCAAAATTGATCAAAAACAAATCGAATTATTCATTTAGCAGCATAAAATGTATCGAATTTGGTTCAAGTTAGAATGGCCGCTTTCAGACTTCGACGAGCGTCATCCGTCCGTCCGACGCGTGCGTGCTGCGACGGCGGTCGCTAGAGTAGTGTCGACAACGCTGGTACGTGATCTGGTGTTGTCAACAACGGTCAGGCGCCGCCGCCGCAGCACGCACGCGTCGGACGGATGGACGGAAGGTCGGATAAGTCGTTGAGGTAGCAGCCAATTTCGTCTGTATATGTAGAAAATTGTTGTCTCTCATGGGGCTCCCAACAGCGTCCTTCCTTCAGACTGCAATCGATAAGGGACTGGGGCTCTGACTTCGTTTATACATACAATTACGCATCGGCAGTAGTTACAAATCATCCAATATTATTATTAGCAAGAATCGTCTGTGGTAGAATCCGCTCCGCATGAGCTGCCGAGCTGTTGCGTTGCCTAGCCGCTACGCGACAGCTCGCGGCTGTAGTATGTAAACTGCAAAACATAGTAATCGCATCGAATTTGTTTCGTGCTTGTAGGTAACTTTACTATCCTAGATACGAATTCTCAGACTGTTTACATATCATTACGCGGGTGAGAGTCTCCTTTGTGGGAAATTTTCGAAAAGAATTACAACTCTCGTGGCTTTCAATTACTTTTGCAAATTTGGCTCACTTGCTCCCATTATTGTTCCATAATAGGCCCATTTTTTATTCAATAATGATCAGGTACTCCATCCCCCGAATAGTATCTATGAAACAATCTTAAAAAAAACAAGCTTAGGAGGAAACGGGCGGTAGGAACGGTTTTGTGTAATCGATCCGCTGCACGCGGCTGCCGCGGACCATTGGCCTCGTTATAACAGTTCTAGCTCTCCTCATACAACTCAATTGCTATGCGATTATTACTTACGGCATGATTCTACTGTTATTTCTTTTGTTCCTGTATTTCTGACTTGCTGCTGCACTCTGCTATACTCCTTCGCGAGCGGCGTCTCTCGCCGCGACGCGACAATTTCGTTTTTACTGCCCCACATCCAAGCTTAGGGATTTCTGAGCAGGTTGTCTACTGTTTGTGTACCGTGAGGTATGTGCTTTTCAGATTTTCATGGAGCGAGTTCGTTATGACTCGGAGGCCTTGAGAGACGATTTATCTGGAAAACTTGTACAGTTCATGAATGCCAAAGTACTACGCAGTGGGCAACTTATATGGGATCACGTATGGGTAAATGAACTATTCACGATCTGCTTATTCATTTCAGGTTGAGCATAAAGGATAAAGCATAAAGTTTTTGGCGTTATTCAACCCCGTCTGAGGGATGCGCCCTCGCACTCGACTTCCATTCAGAATCGTAGTGGCATTATGAGGGCGTATGTGGCCTATACAATGAACTGCGGTGGCCAGCCGATGCACAAGTCAGTGCCTCCCTCCCAGACTAAGTCACCGACCGCGGAGGGATGGAAGGCCTGGTTGGCCTGGGCGGGCATCAATACGGGATTCGAGCCCCTGACCGTGCGGGTGAGATAGTGCGCCACTTGCCACTATACCACCTCCGCCCATCACGTTGAGCACACAACAATAAAAGAGATTGGTTACGATACCTATAGTTGAGTCTATCTTGGAAGTTTTCATTTTTGTCAGGATTTTCCCTGACCTTGTGACTCCCCCGTCCTTTGGAAACCTACAGGAACCACCCAACTGTAAAGTCCTCTTTCTGTAATACTTCACCTTAAAGGCACAGTTCGCGATAATCAATGGGCGGGTGTGTCAATGATGTGTCCGCCTCTCATTCGATGTCACGTCAGACTGTCTAACGTGACATCGAATGAGAGGCGGACACGTCATTGACATACCCGCCCACTGAATTATCGCGAACCGCGCCTTTAACTAATTTAGCAAAATGACATGACAGTATGTTCAAGGTGCGCGATGGGAAGATTATCGATGCAGCCAACGNTGGTTACGATACCTATAGTTGAGTCTATCTTGGAAGTTTTCATTTTTGTCAGGATTTTCCCTGACCTTGTGACTCCCCCGTCCTTTGGAAACCTACAGGAACCACCCAACTGTAAAGTCCTCTTTCTGTAATACTTCACCTTAAAGGCACAGTTCGCGATAATCAATGGGCGGGTGTGTCAATGATGTGTCCGCCTCTCATTCGATGTCACGTCAGACTGTCTAACGTGACATCGAATGAGAGGCGGACACGTCATTGACATACCCGCCCACTGAATTATCGCGAACCGTGCCTTTAACTAATTTAGCAAAATGACATGACAGTATGTTCAAGGTGCGCGATGGGAAGATTATCGATGCGGCCAACGTTTTCTACACAGAACGTAGAAGTGCTGACATTCAAGTGAACTGCGAAGGACTTATTCTTTCTCCAGGATTCATTGACATTCAAATCAACGGTCAGTTGCGCTCCATACAATTTCATCTACTGAATCGATTGTTTACTCCCATACTAGCCTCAAAACACGAGCTTGGCAAAAGTTCAATCAGATACGGCCACATCCCTTTGGAATACCGCGTTTACGGCATTTGCTTCCTTCATGAGATATTTTTCCCTTTTGCTGATATCCTGCCAGTTGATCTGTGAAAAGATTGGGCAGAGGCTGGAGTGAATAGCATTGCCTGCTAAGATGCGCCGTGCATTTGGAGTTTATACGAAACCGTACAAGCCTTAGGACTAATAATTTCCTAATAGACGACTCGCACGATCTGAATGCATGGGTAGGCCAGTCCGCCACCATTTTTAGCAGGGTCTTACAATTGATTCATACAACCGATGTCCGGGGGAAACGGGCGTTAGGAACGATTTTCCGTAATCGATTGGCCGCACGCGGCTGTCGCGGACTTCGCTTCGCCGTTATTACAGCTCTGGCGTCCTTCCTACAGCTCAATCGATATATTACCCTTANTTTAGCCATGATTCCACCGTTAATTCTTTTGTTCGTGTATTCCTTACTTGCCGCTGCATTCTGCTACATTCCTTCGCGCGCGGCGTCTCTCTCGCCGCGACGCGACAACTTCGTTCCTACTGCACCACACCCGATGTCCGGTCAACAGATCGCGCAGATGTTTGTGGCGCTTCCTACTACTGTACCACTTATGTCGTTTGTAGGAACTGACTTCCTGTTCATTCTTCCCTCTATCCAAAGGCCTCGAAGTAAATTCGATTTTCTGGCCTTCCTTATACTAAGCGGGTCGAATTCGTGTGTGGCAGTCTGGTACCAGTAAAACAGCCTCGATGGGTAAAAGGCTTAGTCGGCCAAGGCGGATGTCGACCTGGCCTTCGATCCGTAGACTACTTGTGTGCAATAGTGCGCCCCTTGCCACTACACAACCTCTTCCCACGGGTTGAAGACATCTCAAAAACAATACTCTGTTTAAGGTGGATTCGGTGTGGATTTTTCCTCCATGCCATCTACAGACGAGGAATATGAATGTGGAGTGGCTACAGTTTCACGGTGTCTCTTGAGTCATGGCGTGACTTCTTACCTTCCAACGGTTATTACCAGTCCACCAGAGGTTTATGCTCGGGTAGGTTTGATCAGTTCCATTTTGGACCTTATACTATAACTTCCCCTAGAAAATTAATACCCGGCAAACCAATTGGTCTAATCAAGTTCGAAGCGTTGCAGAGCGTTTATTTGACTGGAAATTGAAGCGTTTTTTTGAGAAACTACAAATGATCGGAAGGAACAGGCTGTTTTTGATTCTCCCATGTATAAATGAATTATGACCCGGGAGCAAACCAGAATGTTTCCCTACGCCGAGTTTTACATGTCTGGGTAAGGTATGTCTTTTTCTCTGAGAATACGTAGTGGCATTGGATTCGACGCCAAATGCTCAATCGCGTATCGTTATTTAAGGTCACCCTTGTTTACGGATGCTGTTGTTTTTGTTTAGCCTTTCAAACCATACGCTTTGGTGCTTATTTTGACCTCCTTATCAGGAGCTTTTCTCTTGATTGCGTTAAAAACATTTCATGAAAGAGAGAGTGCATGGTCCAGAGAGCAACTTTTTTCTTGAGAATCCTCATAATAAAGTGACATCCAACCGATTGCAAAACTCTGTTCGGGTTGTGTATGGTCTTTGTACAATGAGTGTCGCTACCAGGAAACTTTTGGTGATTAGCTGTTTTCATTGAGTGCGCTTTCATCTCTCGGATATGTTTTGTTTGCTTTTCTGATGGTCTGATCTGACTCATCACGCAAATGGCCTCTTTTCGGTCGCTGACGATGACTCAGTTACGATGACGATTCACCGGATGTTCTTTTTCACCTAATTCGAACCAATCTGAGTGATGTTTTCCGGTTTCTTTCGTTATCCTTCTATTGTTTGCACTACAAAGCTAAACAGTAATGCATAATTCATCCGTGAATATTGTAAGATTTCATAAGCGCGTAAATTTATTGAATGAACATAGAAGTATTGAGTGCTAGCTTCTTCAGTGACGACGACTTCCTGTATGTTGTAGTCATTCGACCCTTTGTATAGGGGAGTTTGGATGAAGTCGCCAGGGAGGCACTCACGTCTTCTACGTTTGTCTGGGCAAGCAAAGCCCACCTTGTTTCTTCCTCCGACAGATAATAAACTCTTCAGTGAACACATTCCTTCTTATCCATGCAAGAGGATAGGAAGCCGAGTCTTTCCAGCACCCACCTGGGTAAGATTTCTAGTCGGAATTCGTAATTCGGTGCAGTGTACTTTTGACTGTTTTCCCCATACTGTATTTCCAAAACCGAGACCGGCAAGAGCTCTTTAGAATGTGGCCACACAAGTGACTGATTCAGCTGAATAATCGATCATGCTGACCAGATTCTTGATTGATCATGCTTCTGGCTTGCCTGTTTTCCCCATACTGTATTTCCAAAACCGAGACCGGCAAGAGCTCTTTAGAATGTGGCCACACAAGTGACTGATTCAGCTGAATAATCGATCATGCTGACCAGATTCTTGATTGATCATGCTTCTGGCTTGCTCGTTATTTCGCAATTGTCTTATATTTTATTTGGAACTATGCTTGATCAGCTAGCTTCATCTGTCAAGTCGATTCCGGTGTTCGACATTCACATTCAGTGCCGATTTATTTGCCATAACTCGTCTATCCTTCTTCACAGGCTCACATACTGTTTTTTGCTGAATGTTGCTGAATTTGTCGTACTCTACTATAAGGCAAATAGTTTAGTGCGTTTTTGCTATGGCATTTCTAACGGACGTGATATATTTATTGCTTTATTGCACGGTATTAATTGCTATAAGCTGAAGAAAGGCTAATTATTTACGAACATTCCAAAATCATATCTTGTTAGATCTCACCTTCATCCAGTCTTGTTGCCTTCATTTTCCATGCGTGGTTTTCAAAGCTCCTGATCTTATACATTCTAAAATCGAGAAGTCCCCCATTTACCTTTCGAGTTCCACACTGCCAAGTCCGCTTATTATTTTCACTAACATTTCCTGGTTTGTTTGGATGTGTTCTATGTTTAATTATTAGTTGCCTAATTGTATGCAACTATGTACTGTTCATGAAAAGCTCACCAACAGGAATGAAAATCAGGAACCTTTGAAACCACATGTGAAAAACGGCAGCATACAGTAAAGTAAAGCAGTATTCTTCTGTCTCTCATGGTAAGAGAATGGAAACTCGACCGATTGAATTCTTATGTCAATCTTCTCCAATAACTTCGCCTACCAGGGACTGATGATTCACCTAGAAACCGGATTTACGAGAATCAACCGTCCGGCAAATCGATGCGAAAGTATTGGCTGCTTTCAGCTCAAACGACCGTCCATCCGTCCGTCGTGTGCGTGCTGCGACGGCGGCGCTAGACAGGTGGTGACAACACTAGATCACGTGCCAGCGCTGATCACGGACGGACGGACGGTCGTTGGAGTATGAAAGCATCCATTAATGGAAGAGGGGCTATTGTTATTGATACATCTAGATTAACAGCTACTTTACAGCGGATTATTGAAAATCGCCTAAATCGCCGAGCCGTGCTGCTCTCCACCCTCCACTGTCCACACTCTCTATACTTTTCTGGTAGCCTGATATATGTCCCTTTTTTTGGCAGCCGATACAGACGATTTTTCTAAAAGATTCACGTATTCGATTTTTATCGAACTATCTTGTGATTTTATCAACTATGATAGCCATTTTTGCGCAACTTCATTTTAGGTTCTGCCCCTACTTGCTCGTCGAGATGGTAGTTCAGAAGGGGCTGGTGTACTCGGTGAATGCACTTAATCGTTTCCTATTCATTCTCTTCTGTACAGTTTTTCCCCTGTGAATAGTCACCATCAAATTCTACATTATTGAACTATCTTTCTTGGAAAATCAACTACTAAGTTCCTCAATTGAGGCACATATCTTTCTTTATGTTGTAAAACTATGTATTGATTTTAGGTGTACATATCGAGGGTCCTTTTATTTCTCTTGAAAAGAAAGGGTGTCATCCAAAGGAATTCGTGAGAACATTTGATGACGACCCAATTGCTTCAATACGGAAGGTGAATTTTGCTGTTTTTAACTGCTTTCCGATTTCTTCAAAATAGTTTGGTGTCATTTTAATTGCTACTCATGCTTTAAATAACATTGCGGATCACTAACTAAATGAAGGGCTCGAAGGGCCGTGAATCGCGAAGTTTTTTAGGAAAATATTTTCAGGTTTTCGGCAGCGTTGATAATGCTGCTATGGTTACGTTAGCGCCGGAACTGAAAGGCAGTGACGAAGCTATAAGGTTAGAGTTAAGGTACTTGTTTTTTCAATCGATCCGTTGAGATCGATTGGTTTTGATTTTATTTCAAACTGATTACTCCAGTTTATAACGATCCATTCGTTCTTTCGAACTACTATGTCTCAAATGATTTACTGGTAGCAATATGCTGACTTTACATCAGCCCTATCACCTCTTTGCAATCTGTACTAACTACCAAAGTTACCTCTGCAAATCAAGTTATTCTTGACGTTTTCTTAAATGTTCATTTCGAGTAATTGGCTCAGAATCCTGAATTATGTTCTATAAAACCTTTTCTCCTAAAATTCCATAAATAAGAGCGGTTTAACTTATCGGTGAAAAATGAATTGGAGTGAAATTGAAATTGAATGCGGTCATCCCTCTAANATTTTTCTATATGAATTGTTCATTAAGTGGGCGGGGTTTAGAGTTGAGAAGCGGAGCTTCTTTTTAACTTCTTCTTCGGTTTTTATTTATCCATCCATTAAGTTAGAGGGGTAACTGCATTCATTTTCAACTTCATTCCAATTCATTTTTCACCGGTAAGTCAAACCGCTCTTATCTATCGAATTTTAGGGTATTTGAAATCACACAAATCGTTTCCCAGGTATAATGTTGTAACCTCACTGGTTTGAATCTTTGATCAGGGTTGATTTCTCTTCTCTGTTTTTGCTGTTAAAAAGAGCTGTCAGAAGAGGTTAGCTTAGCTCCACCTCTGTTCTCTTTTGTACATAGCTATTGATTATTGTGTGCTCAACCTCTTCACTCTTTTATCCATAGCTATTGATTGTTATGTATCTTTTAGATACCTCACTGATAAGGGAATAGTTGTCTCGCTTGGACACTCATCCGCCAAATTAAAAGATGCAGAGAATGGTGTGAAAAGTGGTGCACGTTGCATAACTCATCTCTTTAATGCAATGCATGCGGTCAGTTGTGGCTAATCTAACTCGTTAATGTAGTTGTGCCATCGATAAAGGCGTTTGTCTGGACCTTTATACTTTGTTGGGTCTGGACGAAATCCGCTAGAGTCCTATCGCTAATCATGTTTCAGTATCATCATCGCGATCCCTGTCTTATTGGCTTGCTTGCATCAAAGAAATTGAGTGATCGGGAAATATATTATGGTATTATTTCTGATGGTATCCATACTCATGACTCTGCCCTCAGGATTGCTTATAGGTGAGTGGTTCCTTGGTTGGATCATTTTGATTGGCAGTGTAGCTGCCATATTAAAGCCTCGTCTCTTTTTCCCGATTTTTTTTTTAGAATAAGCGGGTTCCTAATTGTGATCTTGTGTCTAGGGGTTGTGTCTACTTTCATACTTCTAGAACGAATCCTGAAGGAATGATTCTTGTTACGGATGCCATAGCAGCATTGGGAATGGGTGAAGGACGCCATAAATTGGGAGATGTCATTGTAAACGTGGTTGGTCTCAGAGCGGTGGCGGATGGAACGAATACCACTGCTGGCAGGTGAATCACTGCCGGTCGTTTATGATCACTATGAGTCTACTTTTGCGTTTTAAGTGTTGCTTCAATGCCCCAGTGTATCAAACACCTTATCAAAGCAGCTGGATGCCCATTACAAGAAGCCCTCATATGTGCGACTGAGAAGCCAGGTAGAATTTCAAAACCTTTTTCTTGTTTCTGGTTCTACTTTGGGTTCTCATTAGTACTGCTAAATGCACGAAATTTTTCTACATATTGTCTTTGCAAAATCTTTAGCCACTCTTCTTGGCATTCGGGACAGAAAGGGTGTCATCGCTGTTGGTGCGGATGCTGACATGGTGTTAATATCGGATGATGCTGACGTACAGGCCACATATGTGGCTGGAAAACTTGTATATGCAAATAACACAGAAATTTTGTAATGTTACCGCTATAATATGTGACTATTATTATTAATTAATTTACGTATAAACAATTAATGATTTGATTGTGTTCCGTGAGGATTATGAACTCGTTGGTCTAAGAGCCAATGTTTCTTTTCAACTTTTCAACAGTTGATCCTCTAAAACAGTTTTTGCCTCTGTTTTGGGTCATGCCGGATGATGCAGAGCAGGATTCGAGAGTGGATCGTCGTGAAACCAATTCCATCATAGCTAATGCAGATGCAGAAAGCATAAATGATGGCAGAGCCTTGGTGCCATCAGCGACTCGGAGTGGTGATGTCATCTCGTGAGTCTGCAATTTATTTGATTAAATAATCGAAAAATACGCGAGTGATCTCCATGTAATCGTCCGTGCAATAGATGAAATCCGTTGTTCAAATTGATGCGGGAGGGATAATAAGTGGGATTTCTAAGGCATAATGACATGGAGTGGCAGTGAACGATGAGTCCAAGTATAATATGCTTCTGATTAGAATCTTTTTCTCAGGTTATCTCCGATTTATGTTGTAATAAGGAAACGAGAAATCATTTGAGTTAGATTAGACTTATTGAAAGGCTTGTGAGTACAGTAGAGCTCAAAAGTCCAATTGCTTTTTCAGTTGCACTTTTTAGTCGTAACTCCTTTCCTTCTGGGTCTACTAATCTGCAATGTGATCATGTTCCAGATTTGCTTAAGAGCTCGAACCCAAATCAACTGGAATTAAAGACATTCTTCCTTCTAGGACTTCTTTCCTTTTTGCCATGTCCAAAGTGTACGAGCGCTAATGCCGCACACAGTAGGGTAGAAAGACGCACCTAAGGTGCGAATAACTGCAGACGTCACAAACTTTGCTTTTAGTGGTCTGCTATCGCAACAAACGCCTTGCTTTGGTNTGTATCTTGTAAATGGGCCAACTCCTTCTAGTCTGTTGTGATCAGCTTAGCTGATATGGCTTTTTTTTTTGAATAACTGAAGTTGATAGTACTTTTTTTACGGGATTTTCACATAATTTTCTCATACAGGCCAACAAGAGCGGTCCTGACGTTATCGAAGTCGATGTTCAATGCGGGATGCTTCTCTCTGCCATACGCATGGAAGCTTGGTGGTCTCTGGGTTAGTCTATGTCGTTTACATTCTTTGATGTTTGTAATGTTTAATCCTTTGTCAGAATATTCGCCAATTCAGTGTCTTGTATTTTATTTGCCGACTGCCTTCTCCTTAGGATCCTGATGTTTTCCTAGTTCAATCGTTCACTTCACAAGTATTGAAGCATTAACGTTCAGGTGTCCCTTGTACTCTCGTTCGTCATAGCGGGCTTCAATTGGTATGGAAATCATATTCTCGTGCGTGCAAGTCAACACTTAGCAAAGAAGTTAGCCAAGCATATAACTAGATCATATAGTATCGAGGATCGTTAATGAGAGCGAACTGTAGTGTAAGAATTCAATGGTGTTATATTGCAGATCAGAGCGTTCGGCACTGGATTATGGTCACTTCGCGAAAAAAGTTTGTGATTATAGTGACATCCGTTTTCTCAGAAATAATAGCAAGGCAGTTATGTAAGTTAAATGATTCCTCTTCAAATTCATTTTTTT